AGCCACTGCAATCTCCTTCTCTTGTCCAGTGATAGGCCTCAGCTCCACATGTTCATACATGTGTCTCCACCATCAGTGACTGAGGGAGGTGGTGGTGGTAGTTGGGTGTTCTCATACAGTGGAGCAGTTGTCACAACAGCTGGTGGTCCTGGGTCTGTGGTACATTCTGAATCATTGCCAACAGTTAGAATGTTTTATATAGCAGGATTAAAGGGAATGTGAGCTAAATTTAGAAGCTTTACTACAGATTGAAATAATCAATAGGAACCAGTGGCAAAATTTTCAGTAACGGTTTATAAATTTAGCACTAATATACTGACATATGCTTCAGTTTGTGTGGTAACAAAAAGACACACACAGAGGAAATGTATGCATATTACATTTCAGCTTAGGGAATTGATGTCATTCACCATTGTTCTTTCTCTTGGTGGTTGATCTTCTCTTAAGGAAAAAGATAAAGGCAAGTAGAATGGCTAATAACAAGCCCAGCAGTGTTAGACCAAGGACAGCGGAAAGTCCAGTTACTGTTGGTGTGCCTACAAAAACCATTAAATCTCCACTTGAATGCTGGTTTGGTTGTGGTAGAGCCTACCATTTTCTTTCTTGGAAGTATTGTCAGTTGCAGAGGCTAATGCTATAGTGATATCAGGTAGCTCCAGTGTATTGTAGCCCTCTGATCCATCCATTAGTATCTCTGATACCAAGTACATGGTATGATCCTGATTGTTGCACCTTGAAACACTCCACCAATGATATGTCATAAGTTGAGTGACGAGGTATTGTGTAGTGAATGTAATCTGATCACTGAAAGTGTTATTGAACATCCTTTAGCAGTAGAGCCATTTGTGAAAACACAAAAGGCACATATCCCTCCACTCACTGGTTTCACATTGAAATACTTCAGTGAGGTACCTGCAAGTGACATAGTAAATTTAGTTGTATTATTACAGTCATACCACTGGCATACCTTCTGTAATCGATACTGCAATGTTGTTCACTAGAATGCCAATGTGTTCCTGCACAACACCGTAGTGTATCTCATGGACACTGACACTGTACTCCCCTCCTTCTGGAACTGAGAAACATTCCAGTAGTGAGAGGTTGTCATCATTGTTCTTGCTTCGGGTGGCATTGAAAACAAAAACATGTTTGTCATTTTCCATTTGAGCGCAGCCATCAGCAGTAGAATCAGAGACGAAAGAACAGAAGACATAATCCTGGTTTTATCGCAGCTCACTAATGACTTCGACAGCTGCTTCAAAGATGGTCAAGAATGCTGGAAGAATGACCTTTTGTGTTATATGTCGATCGTGTGTGTTTAATTGTCTTACCCTTTCGGGTAGCATTTCCCTCTCCCACTTCATTCCATGCACTGATCTGGTAGGTGGTGCTGGCACATGTCTCTCCAGAGTGATGTGTGTTTCAGTGGTGTTTCTCTGTTCTAGACTCCTGACTGGTGATATAGACCTTGAGTGGAGTATGGGGACTCCTTCCAGGGTGAATGGAGGACTCCATGACACATTAATGCTATCAACTCTGACTGCTTTAACACTATGTATAAGGAGCGTTTAGGAGACCTTATGTAAGAGTGCCACATTTTAGAGACATAAGGTATGGTATATCTAACACATAATCACCTTGTATTCTGAGGGTTGTTGGTATTGGTAGTGTTAGAATGTACACACACGCAGGAAGAGACGCACACTTCCGTGATTTTGAGCTCGCATTGTACCTCAGATCAGTTGGAGTTACTTGTCAGACGCTTACCACAGAGAATTGAGATGACAAAACACAATCCAAATGATAGCCGCTTTCTTTCGTAATAGTCTCGAACGCCTCCTCTCCCAAAATATAGTCACTAAAGTTGACTACAGTAACACTTCATTCTCACCATTAGGTTTGACACATCTCCCACATGAATCTCTCGACGTCTTGACATCATACAAATCTATACGCTAGCATACATATATAGAAGTTGTTGACCAGTGAGTGAGATTTTCATTGAGAGCCAAAAGTCCCTGCATCAAGAGTGTTAATAGCTGTACACCTCTAGAGCAGTCAAAAAGTCTCTACTACACTCTCATGAAAGAGAACACTCATCACAGTAGCAAGCACAACAGCCCACCATCAAACAAAGACGCTGCAACCAATAAGGGGAGGTTTTTCGCTACTCTTCACTTGCTCAATTGTGCGACGCACTCAGCAGGACGCGCACTCATCAACTGACTTGAAACGTCGTGTGCATGCGCTGTGCTTTGTGCTCGGCACGCATGCGCAGCAAGGTTACAGACAGTCTGTCTCTGGCGACGCATAATTATTCTAGCACACAGGCTATATACGAGGCGGCCTATACACTTAACACAGCTGCAGAACTGCAAGTGCGTGTAAACTAAAAACGATTATCTGAAACTACTGGGTTCGATATTTTATTATTCCCTGGAAGCAAGCAGTTTGCATAATCGGCTTGCGTTAACCTTTTTGCCTGATCGCTACTATGTGTCATCATGGAGTCACCATTTGTCACACAAATGTGTGTAACGACTCCCGCCCTCTAGTTTGGCTAACCCGTTGTCTCGGCGAGAGAGAGAGACCGCGGCCGGGGCAATTGACGCGCTGCTCGTCAATTAGCGGTGGTCATGGACTTGCTCCGCGAGGCGCGCGCGCGCATGCTGTTGAGGAGGTGCCATCTGAATAATGTCAATAAGCCATGCCCCATTGAACAAATGTCATAAAGCTAATGCCCTGCGACGGCTTCAGCTTTTCATGCTGAAAGCAACAGCCAGAAGCTTGCTCCACGCCTTAGCTCCATTGTTTAACCTCTCCCTATGCTCAGAACAGTTCCCAGAAATGTGGAAGATAGCAAATGATTGTCCCAATTCCAAAGTCCGAGGATAAAAGTGACCCATCTAACTACAGGCCTATCTCACTCTTGAGCGTTGTTAGTAAAGTTTTGTTTACGCAATTCTCTGGGATCATCTGCTCGAGCATTCACCTATATCCGATGTGGTTTTCAAAGGGGGATATCAACCACTACTGCTCTACTCTCTACAACTCAGGATTGGTTCTCTCTTCTTGACAGGCAATGTGATGTTTGATTTCAGAAAACCTTTCGATAGTGTTCCACACCAATATTCGGATTGGTTTCACACCAAACATTCTCTAATGGTTATGTAAACAGTATGTTTTAGTGAACGGTGAGCACTCAACATCTACTATATATAGTTCGTTCTGGCATTCCAAAAGGCTCAGTTCTGGGACCATTACTTTTCTCCTCTATATTAACGATCTCACCAGTTTTCACCTCTCTCAAATGTCATCCTTGTCACTCTATGCTGATGACATGCTGTTATACAAGCCTATTACCTCTGATATCTCCTACCTTAATGCCACCTTGGATGCAGGGAATTTTGGTTTCTCAATAAATATCTCACTCAATGGTTCAACTACTCTCTATATGGAAATGTATCTGAAGATCCTTTGGGAGATTGTCAAATCTAATGGCGAGTATGAAGTGTACACTGTAGTCACTTATATCTCCATGGAAGGCGTCAGAATATTGCAGAGAGAGGACTATCATTTGGAGGGTTATGCTACGGTGATTGTGATCTCCTACTGGCAATAACTGCCACTGATCTGAGGTACAATGGAGCTAAAATCACAGGAATTGTGCGTGTACCTGAGTGTTTTAATACTTCCAACACAACCAATACCACAACCCTCAGAATACAAGGTGAATTCTGTTATAGCTACCTTTTCATCTGTAGCTAAACCTATATATACACCTTGCAGGTCTCCTAAAAGCTCCCACTGCTGTAAGTGTTGAAGCAGATGGAGTTGATAGCATTAATGTGTCATGGAGTCCTCCATTTACCCTGGAAGGAGTCCCCATACTCCACTACAGTGTCTATATCACCAGTCAGGGAGTCTCAGAACAGAAAAACACCACTGAAACACACATCTCTCTGGAGAGACCATGTGCCAGCACCACCTACCAGATCAGTGCATGGAATGCAGTGGGAGAGGGAAATGCTACCAGAAAAGGTGACACCATTGAACACATGGTTGACATAGCAATGTTGCAATGGGTCTATATAACCCCATTGGAAACCATGAGTATCTCCTTAAACGAGCAAAAATTGATGTATAAACCACATTAATGCCTAGTATTATAAATAACCACATATAAATTATTATGGACTTATGGAGGCTCTGGGCATGTATTGAATTATATACCAGTGGCTTGCTAAGGGTTTAAAAAAAATTTGAAAACCATCTCTATTGATGTGGGGCATAGCTACTTTAAATGGCACAATTCATGACTGTGGTTGAGGCAGTTATTGGTGACACAATAATTCTATGCAGTGGTTGACATAGAAATGGTTCAAAAGTGCAATGCAAAACTTTGAAGACGAGCAAAGCGAGCAGTTTGATATTTCACGTGTGTTTTAGCGCATACTTAGAATGACTTGGTAAGCGCAGTTCAAGTATTAGAAAAAATTTTTGCTTAAATATACATTCAGACAACTGCGTGGGGTCACTTCGCTTGGTAATAAACCCAGATACAATGCATTACTCAATGTTAACTCATTAACCCTCGGCGCGCATGCGCAGCGAGGGTTACGGTAGTTGGTTTGTCTGTCTGTCTGTGTGTGTGTGTCGACGCTTATTCTGGCACAACAGGCTACGAGGCGGCCCATTAGCGATACCAGCGGTATCAGAACTACGCGAGCCTGAGAAATAAAAGGGCGATTTTCCTGAAACGACTGCGTTCGAGAGCGACTAACTGGCACGGTCGCGGACCGCGTTGCTTGGCCCAACCCATCAATAAGCGGTGCGCATGCGTACAATATTATTAGACGCGTCAACGCAGTACATAATCCGCTTGTTCTGTGTACCTAGGAGGCACAAGAAGCCACAGCAAATGGCGTGTATCGACTCCCGCATCCTATCTACTACCGTAGCTAGCCCGTGTAAGACTCCTAGCGGGAGACCGCGGGTAAACGTCAATAGCCCAGCCCACCATTAGCGGTATATATACTGCGCATGCGAAGTTCGCCGAGGGTTTGCACTTTAGTGCTTTTCATTCTCTTGACCATCTTTGAAGCTGTCAAAGTTATTAGTGAGCTGTTAAAACCAGGAGTATGTCTTTCCTGTTCTTTCTTCTCTGATTCTACTGCTGATGGTTGCACCGTCAAAATGGAAAATGACAAACATGTTTTTGCTTTCAATGCCACCCGAAGCAATAACAATGATGACAACCTCTCACTACTGGAATGTTTCTCAGTTCCAGAAGGAGGGGAGTACAGTGTCAGTGTCCATGAGATACACTACGGTGTTGTGCAGGAACATGCTTGCACTCAAGTGAACAACATTACTGTTTCGATTACAGAAGGTATATATGCCAGTGGTATGACTGAAATAATACAACTATGTCACTTGCGGGTACCTCACTGAAGTATTCCAATGTGAAACCAGTGAGTGGATGGATATGTGCCTTTTGTGTTTTCACAAACGGCTCTACTGCTAAAGGATGTGCAATAACACTTTTCAGTGATCAGATTACATTCAACTACACGATACCTCGTCACTCAACTTATGACATAGCACTGGTGGAGTGTTTCAAGGTATGGCAATCTGGATCGTACCATGTACTGGTATCAGAGATACTAATGGATGGATCCGAGGGCTACAACACACTGGAGCTACCTCATGTCACTATCAGAGCGTCGGTAGACGCTCTATGTAGGGATGGCACGGGTGAAATGTCACGTGATCTGCGTACAAAACGCCTCTAAACTCGGGGAGAACGCCTAACTATGCCTTCAAAACACATCTGAAATCACTCACGGGCCCATATCTAGCTATATATGTCCCCAAAAGTATCATACGTACCTTCAATTCTCAAGACGAGAATCCGCTCTTACGCGATTTCACGATTCACGCATCATCATCATCATCATCATCATATTCTTCATCTTCTTCTTCAGACCCGCTTTCTCCTTAGTGGAACTAGTTGATGCGCTGGATTTCTCACTAAACGTGTCCTGCGATGCTGGAGGTGTGCATCGTCGTATTGCGATGCTTATTTTCTTGCCGCCTATAGCTACGGAAGATTACCGGCGGACAATACAGCTCACAGAAGACTACGCCATTTTCAAGGATGACGACCGGTCCAGACCCCACCCCCGGCCGGCCCCACGCGAGCGCGCGCGCTCCGCGCGACGCGACGCGCCCGATAAAAGACGCGTGATCGCATAGCCGCTCGCTCTCTCTTTTCGTTGAGCTCCGTTTGGTCGTGGTTTTGTGCCAGTGACTACTTTTGCCCGTGTCTACCGTTTCTGCCGAGTCTGGTTACGACCGGTTTTTTCTCTGTTGAACTGTTCTTCTACACGACAGTCCGTCTCAGTCTCTTTCATAGAGCTGGAGCTAGTTCGTGTACTGCGCTGTTTTTTTTTCACAAGTAAGTGTTGTTATATCGAGCGTATAATCCTGTACTATTAAGTTTCTACCTCTGAGGTACATCGACACCCCGTCCGGTGTATTTGTACTGGCCCCTGCTGCTAACTTAGATTTCTGGGATCTGGAGTTGAGGCCACCACATCTACTCTTTTGCAATGTAAGCTCTGCAAGTTGTCAATGGACGGTAATTTGCTTATTTGCTCTTTATTCCAAAGCTGTTTATTTGGAGGTGCTACACGACACTCCATCGTGCCTGGGTGTACCCACCGGCCCTGAGGCACTTCGCTGCGAGTTCGTGCCGCACCCTGGTCCTCAATCTCCCGAATCGCGAACCTCTCCCTTCTACGTCTTTGCCGTCGTTGGCGATACGTATTACAACTCTGCTACTCTCGCCCTGCTGCAACCGAGTCCTCGTGGATAAGAAAACGCCTGTCGTTCTTTCCTCCAAACGCCTTCTCTCGCCCTCTATCTACGGCTGCTATTCCTCCGAAATATTGTGCCCTCCACTGCTCTCTCTGCCGCTGATTTGCTGATAGTTATCACTGCCAAGATCGACAACACCCAGACAACACCCAGACAACACCCAAGACAACAACACCTGGGCATCTTCAGATAAGTCCATTTTGCTGCTGGGAAAATGCCTTACCGCTCCCCAAGAAAAAAGAGGGCATGTTTCAAAAGATATTATGTGCTAAATTCTGAGAATATAAAAGCTAGAGGTAGATCCCTTTATTTGTCAGACCCTGATAAGATAAAGGCTGTGGCTAGGACCTCCTACCATGCTGATCCTGATAAGAAAAAAGGCAGCTTCTAGGGCCCTGTATAAGTTGCACCCATTGAAGAAAAATGTTGCTGATAGGGCTGCGTATAGAGATAATGCTGATAAAAGAAAGGCTGCTGCAATATCTGTTTACGATGTAAATCCTGAACAAAAGCGTGCAGCTACCAAGGCAGCTTATAAAGCCAACCCTGAAAATATGAAAGCATTGTTTCGGGAGTATCATGCCTCACACCGTAGTGCCAGGCTAGCAGTGTTTCGGGACTATCATGCCTCACACCGTAGTGCCAGGCTGGCAGCATTTCGGGAGTATCATGCGTCCCATCACAGTACCAGGCTAAGGTATTTCAGAAAATATCACACTCATACCAAACCAAAGAGAGTGACAAAGAGAGTGACAAAGGCTAGATACAGTTTGGCGCAGCCTAACCAACTGACGATTGAACAGTGTTATAGGAGTGTTAACGCCAACCTGCTAGCTGATGGTAAAGTTTTGTTGAAACTCAAGGAAGAGTTCAAGTCCCTGCATGCTGGTGTAGCAGATACACTGAGTAGAGCAGAGTTGGAAAAGACAGTGGGTAGACTGGCAGTTAAAAGACTGGTTTGCAAAGCCTTACAAATACGCAGGAAACATGCAGGGTTTTTGCTGGCCAGCATTAGGCCTGAGACTATTTATTCCCACAATTTGTCCGGATATTCTATTCTGAATTTCCTACTCCACATGCCTATTATTCTTTAAAGTTTACCCATTATTCACAGAAATTTACCTATTATTCTGCTTCAAAAATGAAAAAAAAACAGTACTACAGAGCAGGCACATAAATAAACATCACGATCATTGTACTGCAACATGACGCGCGTCCACTCGGCACTCACACTTCGCCCTTCCGCGAGTTCCGAGTTGCCGCCGTTGCCCGCTCGTCGCAACTTTCAACCTATTATTCTTGGAATTATTCTTATTCCCAGAGGGACCTATTATTCCCGAAATTATTACGGAATAATCGACGCAGGCCTAACCAGCATTAAGCTGATTATGTCTATTACATTTAAAGAACACATTGACTTTGGAAAAAGGCTGCCACACTAGTTTGACAGAGCCCTACTTTTATGAGGCAGCCTACCTGGATGTTAGAGAGTCCCCAATCCCTGTTAATGAGAAGGGGGAGGGCATTGTTGCTAAAGAAGTGCCTGTGGAGGCTGGCAGTAAGAATGAAGAAGGTAAAGATGCTGCTTCCAACAGTAACCTTTCTCTGGCTGGGAGTGTGGGTTGTGTTTCAGATGGGAAAGTTTCTGATAAGGGACCTGCCCAGTCTAAGATGTGGGAGTGCTCAAAGCAGTGCAAACCACTAAGTGAATTTGAGGTCAATGCCATTGTTTGTTTTAGGACAGCTTTTGAGCAGCCTGTTGAGAAAGTGAGGCAGGCCCTGGCTGAATGTGATATGGGTTGCCCCTATAGTCACTACACCAAATTAGTGGGTATGACATTTATTGTACTGATGAGATTGACGAAACAGCAGGCAATAGGAAGATGACCAAGAAGATCATTGAGCATTTGGATAAACTGAACGCTGACTGCAACATGACAGCTGGGTTGGAAGCCAAACTGTCTCTTGCAGTTGGTGCACGAGTCATGCTACGTCGCAACATTGACACCAAGGCTGGGCTGGTCAATGGTGCTATTGGTACAGTGCTGTCAATAGCAGCCCAGCATGTGACAGTGCAGTTTGATAATGTACCTGCTCCATGTAAGATTGATAAGGTCAGAAGCAGGTTCATGGTGATGAAGAATTTCTATGTGTATCGTAGACAATTCCCTCTCATTTTAGCCTATGCAATTACCATCCACAAGTGTCAGGGTCTGTCATTAGACTGTGCCATAGTAGACCTGTCTGAGGAGGTATTCAGTGATGGAATGGCATATGTGGCTCTATCCAGGGTTAGGTCACTAGATGGTCTGTTCCTAACAGCCTTTGATCCCCAGTCCATCAGTGTTAGTGTGAGTTCCCTGGGGGAAGTAAACCGCCTCAGAAAAACCCATAGACCTGATCTTCCTCTGTATGATATACCACACATCTCTAAAAGAAAGAGGAAGCTCACTGGTGTAGACAAAACTGTTTCCCCAAGTGTAAAAAAGGTCAAGGTGAATCCCTCATCTGCAAGGGATAATGAGGACTGTGTTATTACAGGTACAGAAACACCTGCTGCTAGTCCTTTCAATTTCCACTCTGTAGATGTACAGTGGCAGCAAAGTGCATGCCAAGAGCTGGGCCTCCAATATTGTACACAAACACCAGTAAGACCAGGAGGACCCGCTGTCCCCCTCACACGTCCAGACATGCGTAGTGTGAGACGCGTACAGGGAGATGGTAACTGCCTCTTTCGAGCATTTTCTTACATTCTGACAGGGTCTGCAGATCAGCATATTGGTGTACGACATGCTATCATTGACCACATGACAAATAATGCCCAATATTTCCTAGGCCACCATCTCGTAGGCTATGACAGTATTCAAAGTTATATAGCTTCCACAGGTATGGACCAAGATGGCACCTGGGGAACTGACATTGAGATGCTGTCTTTGGCACACCTGCTCCAGACCCCTGTCTTCTCATACAGCCAGCAGCATGGGCAGTGGCAGCGGTACTCTCCTCATGATGTCGACAGACAACTGATGGATGACATTCACCAGAGGTCTATGTATCTATTGCACACAGGAAACCACTTTAATGTTGTTGGTTCTATAAGGAAGAGTTAAAGAAGCCACATGTGCTCATATAGACTATACATGGGCTCTCTGAGCATGTTGGGGAAGGAGAGGGTGGGTCCCTGCAATTTATTGAGGTGGCTTCCCCATTTCATGCTATAACCACTGTAGAAAGTGTGATTTACATGTCCTGTACATGACTTCTGAACATGTTGGGGAAGAAGAGGGTGGGTCCCTGCAATTTATTGAGGTGGCTTCCCCATTTCATGTTCTAACCACCCTCCTAAAGTCTCAGACTTCATGGAGCTGACTGGTTTCAAGTGTAGGGAAACTGCACTGTCTTTACCACAAAGTTTTAGGGGACTGTAACTGCATCACAAAGTTGGGGTAGCACACTGTTAGAGGTGAATGTCTGTACACTGACAATTGTGTTGTATGCCAACAGTAGTGAGTAATCCCTCAGGAGACTGGTCTTAGCTCTGACAGAATATTATCCTCCTCCCTTGAGGAGTGCACTCTACAGTCAGTAGCTATGCCTGTCGGGGTACTACTACATTGAAGCTACACACTACTCACCTAAACATCAGTGCACATAACTATTGTATGCAGTATATCAGCACCCTTCCTACATGCACCTTCACATAGTATTCTGAACAAGGTGGTTACTATTTATAGGCTCCTCTTTTCTTACAACTACATATATATTATCTGGTTTTCCCCTGGGAAGCTTTCTACCTCTGCAGGTCTTTAAAGGCTGTGATCTTCTGTCTAAGGGGCACTGGGGTCTCAACCATAGCTGACCTGTCAGAGGAAGGTACTCAGCTTATCAGGGGCCTTAGCAGGTGGGGCTCTGAAGTGTTTTCCCCAGCCCTTATCACCATGCTGACTTTACACACCCTGTGCCCTTATCACCACTGCTGACATAGCTATTGTAAAACCCTATCCTAGCCTTCTATACTATAATTTGGGTTGCATTCCTCACTCTTTTATTGGTGCATACCATCTTTATGTTCTAAGGTGCTGTGCACTTGTCAGACCTGGACCCTACAAACTTCTACTACACATCCACTACGCTCTTTGGCCTCCACCTTTGACTTCAGCTGGGTAGACCTCTTCAAAAGAGTGAACTCCTTGCACAACAAATCACATTCATTATGTTGATGTCTCACTTGCGCATGCGCCCGCTACGCGCGAGAGGCGGCGCGCGCAAGTGCGTAAAAATTGCAACGTCACCCGGCCGCTCGCGCTGCGCTGTATATAGGGGGGAGCCCGCGCGCCGTGCGTGCGCGTACAGTGTCAGTGTGTGCCGCAGCAGCCCCTCCCCCTCGCTCTGCAGCCCGAAAAGGGTGGGGCTGAGTATGCGCAAAAAATAACTGGAACAAGTGGAAAAATCATTTCTTCAAAATGAAGGGGGATGTAGGGATGGTGTAAATTATGAAAAAGGATGCCAACAAGAAGATGCTTCAGCCGACAACAAAAATCGTACATCCATCCCTACATCTTTCTTTACAGTCACAACCTCTACTGTGATAATTATGTTGTGAATAATGTATCTTACATACTCTATGACAAGTAACCACACATTTTTTTATACAGAGCAAAAGAAAGAAAGATGTAGGGATGGATGTACGATTTTTGTTGTCGGCTGAAGCATCTTCTTGTTGGCATCCTTTTTCATAATTTACACCATCCCTACATCCCCCTTCATTTTGAAGAAATGATTTTTCCACTTGTATAATTATACACTACACAAAAAGGGCTCACTTACCACAATACTCTCCTTCCCACAATGTGTGTTCAGTGTGTGTGTATAGTAAATATATACCAGACTCATTGGTGGTGATGCAGATGTCATATCGTGAAAGTAATGAATGGGGTTTACAAAGTATGCGGACAATGCTGAGAAATGAAAATGTTCAATGTACATGTGTTTAGTACACTTCTATACAGCTGCAAGAAATTCCCAAAAAGGGCCCACCTACCACTAGATACTCAGTGTGTGTGTATACCAGACTCATTGGTAGTGATGTAGAGGGAGGCAGGGAGAGAGGATCCTCTGTCAGATATGGTGGAGATGCTGCAGTTGTATGGAACTCCAGAGGAGAGTCCAGACAGTGTGGCTGAGGTGAGGGTTGGTGCCAACAGGGGAAGAGACTGGGGAGAGTGGGATCCCAGTCAGGAGAGGGACACATGTCAGGTTGTAGCCAGTGGTGAGGTGGGCCCAGTGCTGGGCTGGCTCCAGGAGAATGTGAGAGAGGTTTCCGATACTGAAATTACCTCAAAGTTTCCCACAGTATAGGCAACTGTAGCAAAACAGGTCAGGTATGCATCTCAATGTTTAGATAATGTCCTAGCTAAAAGAGTGAACAACAATTCGTCACAGGTATATATGAAAAGGTGGATGTTATGCCCTAGTTAGTTAGCACATGCATACAAAGTGTGCATTATTATGTTAATCTTACCAGGTGTTTCACAAACCTTTTGTTGTATGGTGACATTTGGCCCATGGGTGACAATACTTGGTAGTGTACTGGAGTTAGTCACTACACTTATAGAAAAGTTTGCTCCTGGTGTTAGTCCAGTGATGACGACGCTAGTATCTGTCTCAGCAGCTGTCACTGAGCCATTTGTCCTCCATCTATTTGCTGGTAGTAGATGGTGTAGCCAGTAACATTGGGTCCTTCTGATGGTGTCCAGGTCACCAGTAGACTGTTCAGTCCATTCTGAGACACTCCACATTAGATGGAGGAGAGGGAGCTAGTGTAATGGTTAATAATTTAGTAATTCCATGAACTTAATCAGTCTCACCTTGTACAGTAACTCTGCTTCAACTTCTGAAAACCATTAGCTACTGTAACATGTGTAGGATCCTGCTGTTCTATCTGTCACTAGAGTGTGGGTGTACTGTGCAGTCACTCCATCATTCAACACAGTCTGGGTTCCTTGGGTGACAGTGGTGGAGTCTCTGGTCCAAGTGACAGTGGTAGCAGGTCCACCAGTGGAGATACAGGTGAGGGTGAATGAGTTGTCATTATGGAGAGTGAAATTCATACCACCAGACAATGCTAGATTCCCTGAGTATAGAGAGGCACCAGTATAATGTACATTCAAAAACCAAACATTACCTCTTCCAGTGTTGTACAGTCCAACATAGACAGTCTGAAGTGTGGATGCAGCATCCGGTACTGAACACCAATATATCCCCTGTGTGCAGTACCAGTGGTCCTCTTCAGTCTCACTACCATAGAGCCTCTGTTTCTGGTAACTCCTGGAACATCAGTACCATCTACTCTAGTCCCATCTGGTCCATACCAGTTTCCTGAAGTAGGAGTACCAGGACGGTTAGTATTACAGAGTAGGGCAGTGTTGTCACTGAAGCCAATATCACTGATAGCGACATAGCCATGATTAGGGATGACAGCTCCATTCAGACTGAGGAAGACATCTACATACAGAATGGTCAATCAAAGTATTGAAACAGAAAGTGAATGCTCACTATCAGGAGTCTCAATATTCTGTGGTTGGCTGTAGACTCCAGTACCAGCACTGGTCCTTGCTGCCACTTCAACTGTGTAGACTGTCTGTTTAGTCAGTCCACTGAGTGTGGTCATTCCTCCACTGGAGTCTCCAGAGGAAACCTGATGCTCTGACCACCTCCCTCCTCCCCATACCTCACTCTGTAGCCTGTTATCTCTCCATTCCGATGCCTGCAGTCCATGGCCCCCACCTGACATTGATACTAGTGGAACTGACCACTGACAACCTCACAGAAGAGGGAGGGGCAGATGGAGCTGTGAGTCGGAAGGGTTTAGAATGAGGTCGAAGTAGACTGAGAGATAGACTGACCAGCAGTTCTTGTTGTGGCTGTGATGATATCTTGTTCAGTCCTTCCTCCAGTCAGAGTGGCAGTGACAGTGATAGAATACTGAGTTCCCTCCTCCAGACCAGTTAGCTGATATGATGCCCTACTAGTAGTTATATCACTTCTGGAGTGATTGAAACAGCCAGTGTTGTTAGTGTTGTAGTAGGAGATGGTGTAGCCAGTAGCTGTCAAAGTCTCCTCCAGTGTCCATGAGATGATCAGAAATGTATAGGATGAGGAGACAACTTTAAGTCCATCTGTTGAGAATAAAGGTTTATCTTAAGGCAGAGAAAACCTGTGCCTACACATTGGCATAAAAAAACAGGTGTATAAAGCCAGAAGTGTTTTGTGTAGGTAATGGATGTTGTCTATACACAGCATGCCTTCACGCCTCAGCAGTTAGTAGACCCTTAGGAATGGCTTTTTGCCTACACTGTCAAAACATTCTCACCCCTCACTGATCATTGAGACTCAGTCACTAATTCCACTCATAAAACTTTACTTTTGAGCCCTAAACTCACCATTAGTCCTGACAGAGATACCAGAGCTGTATGGTCCAGTACCAGCACCATTCACTGCTGCCACTTGGACAGTGTACAGGTTGATGGAGACAATCCAGAGATTGTAGCCTGTCTAGCATCACCACCAACACTAGCAGTTCCTTCTACCATTCCATTTCTCACAGCCTGTGCTATGTAACCAGTTATCTCTCCATTACGGTCAAGACAAGACACCTCTCCCCAATGGACAGTTATACTACTGGCAGTGACTGTACCACTTCTGACTGAGCTGGGACCTCGTGTAGGATCTGTGTAGAACAACAATGAATAACAGGGATAAGTACACAATATTGACTGAGCCTCTTACTTGTCTGCATAGTTGTTGCAGTTACAGCATTACTGACTGGAGCACTGCCAGCTGCATTGAAGACTGTCACAGTAATGGTGTACCTATTCCCTGGCTCTAGTCCAGTTATTCTGTATGAACCACTAAAACCTTGATTCACAGTAAAACTTCGCTGATTCTATAGGAACATCCAACTGACGTGTCTCTCTGCCACTGGACTACAAAGCCCAGTCACCACTGAGCCATCTGGGAACACTACCAGTGATAGTGATGGTAGTGGATGTGACTGTTGGAGATGTATGCAGAACTAGAGCAGATGGAACTGTGGGGAAAAAAATCAGTTATGAAAATTGTAAATGTTGGTATTATTCCTGCTTACCCAAGCGAACAGCGGTAGTAGCAACACTTTCACTGACTAGGTCTGTTGATGATGTGGCTACAATTGATATGGTATAGGTCCTTCCATTGGTAAGACCAGTCAGTGTGTGGCTGTTAGTATTTTCACCAGCAACATTCACACTGCCTGTAGATCCCCCAGAGTAGGAGATTTCATAGCCAGTGATACCATTCAATGGAGAAACAGGAGGGTTCCAGGTTACTTCAATACTTGTAGGTCCTCTCTGGACAGCTGTCACACCAGTGGGAGGTGAAGGATCTGAAGAAACATCAAACTTGAAGTGAAATTACTCTGATTATAACAAAGGGGAATAGGGTATATACCTAATGTGATGCTAGCTGATGCAGATGATGGCTTGTCATTAGACACAGTACATGTGTATGTTCCCAAAGCAGTCACAGTCAGAGTGTGGGTGTACTGTGCAGTCACTGGGTCATTCAACACAGTCTCAGTTCCTTGGGTGACAGTGGTGGAGTCTCTGGTCCAAGTGACAGTGGTAGCAGGTCCACCAGTGGAGATACAGGTGAGGGTCAGCTGGCTAGGGTCAAATGTCACTCCTCCTGATATTGAGATGCTCCCTCCTATTATTAAAAGAAAGCCTTAGCATCATATTTTGGTCAGTAAGCTACCACAATTTCCTGATGCACTTAGCTAACAAATTTACCTGCACTAGTGTACAGTCCCACATAGACTGTGGCTCTCACTGAGATGTCTGTATCATCATGGACAGCATTGGTTGGAATCTCACAACGATATATACCAGTTGGGGAAGTGGCATTGTTTGCACGACGTAGTTCAACTCTCTGAGGTTCTTTCAACCACATAAATATCTTCATTTGTCTGCAGAGCTACACCATCAGGGAAAAACCATTGTCCACGATGAGGACCATCTACATTCTGCAACAAGTCCCCAGATCAGTGTGACACCAAACACTGGTGCTAAATCTGTCCCCACTGTTCCAAGGTCTACATAACTATGGTTAGGTAGCCCAGCTCCTGTGGATAAGGAGACATAAGGGAAAGTCTGACAGTCAACCTCCAGACTACAGAGAGAATCAAACGCAAGCACAAAATCTCGAATCCATCGCGCAACAAATAGAATAACGGTGGTATTCTCGTGTTATAGAGTGAATGCTTCCGGTGAAAATTTGCTGCTTTATTTAGCGCATGCGCACGCACAGGGTCAACGTTCCCACGCGCACACGCGCGGAAAAAAAAAGCTTACGCCTGCAAATTTGGGGAGAGGCGCATTGTCATGGAGTTTCAGATCCCTTTATCCCGCGAGGACCTTCTCCGGCCGTCGGGAGGCTCCCAGTTCTTTGTACCAGAGCCTCTCCCAGCCAGAGAGATTGTGTCTCGACTTGAAGGTAAGCCTAGTATGCTTTGCCTCCCCCTCTCCTTCTCTACCGCCTTTTTGTTACAATCTAACCTCTCAAGAATGCAGGTCACTGCTGGACTCTAGTGTAATTGCCTCCATTCCCGAGTGTTTCCCTGTCTTCTTCAGTCTTCTACAGTGAGTCTACACACAGCATAATTTACCATAGCTACACACACCACCTTGTGAACTGGCCCGATTAAAACCCTTTGGACACCATGGGTATCTGCTTAAATAAGCATAAATTGATGTATAAAGTATTAGCGCCCAGTGGTATAACCACTATATATATTCTTATGGACTTATGGTGGCTCTGGACACATTTATGTGTCCGTGGCTGGTTAAGTGTTAATTAACCAAGTTAGTGTAGCCAACGTTAGTGTAGCCAACGTAATTAAAACCTGCTTACTTACTGAGCAAAGTACATTCAAACTGATATTTCTTCTTTTAGCTCTTAGTACTAGAGATGCCACAGGTTATCCAGCATCATGCCATACAGTGGAACCTCCGATAACAAACTCCCCCAACCGTCTCTATAATGAACTTATTCCCATGTCCCAACTGGCTTTACCATTTATACACATACCTCTCAATAAAGAAAACCTCCGAATAATGGAAAACAATTGCTGTCCCAATATTTTCATATTCGGAGGTCCCACTGTACATTTGAGATTTTAGTTAGAATGTATTTGGCTCACTTAGTAATGTGTGTCTGCAGGAATTTCCTGAGTGTGGGTGTGTCAGTGAGAGAGAGTTACTGGAGGATTGGGGTCAGGGGGCTGGAGGGGGTGTGTCACCAAGTGGGCGGGGCTAATTTCACCGGTATGACACAGACGAAGAAGGCGGAACTGAGGAATGCACTGAAGGTCCGTGTCTTCCCTTCTCTCCCACCTTCTTTCCCTCTCTTCCATCTTCATTTCTTTAACTTTCTCCACTCGCTTTTTACTGATAGAAGTATGTTTCTTTAGAGATTTATTGTTCACATTTTCTCACTACTAGATGATGGTGTATGTGGTAGTACAGTTGGTTGAAGAGTTTGAAACTGATGCCACCAAACCTGATTCCCTGGACATCGTCACCAACAAGGTTCAGTTGTGAACTATTGTTAGGGTAGGGGTGCGAAGTGATAGTGAAATAGAAGTAATATAGGAAGAGGTACAGCGAGATTGTATTATATATTCCATCCTCCAACTATAGTCAAAGTATTGGGTATGGATTTTGTTTACTCACGTGCCTGCAAAAAATGCAAAACGTTCATACTCGAAAGCCTTTTTGAGGGGTTTCGGAAAAAGTTACCCGCTATATGATGGTATCTGCAGTTGAAAGAAAATTTTCATAGAGGCAAGGTGGTGTTGCTATTCCACCCTCCAACTTTAGTCAAAGTATAGGGATGGTTGGTTTGTCATTTCCTTGACACATGTGCCTGCATGCAAAACTGTTAGAACCTTCTCCATGGGAGGACGCGAGACTGTCTTTTCTCGGCGTTGGGACTTCGCTTACCGCTGCACTGGAACTGCCCGATTGACCCATTTTTCGTTTACAAAATTTCTTTGTGAAAGTACACACTTTCCCATAATTGGAACACAAACTCGTGCGCATGCGTGTAAGTAGTGGGTGGGGCTCTCATGCACAAAATGGACGATTACTTGATACCTTGTGTGGTGAAGCCAGCCGTTTTCCTCACCGTTTCAGGTACAGAATCATCTTTCTGTGATGATGTATTACATCAGGACAGAGGGGCTGGGCTCGGCAGGGTCCAGGTTCAGTACCAGACTCTGGGAATGAGACCAGACCATCAGGTTGTCAGGTGGTGGACGTGGAATTCTGTTCCTCCATTCCAGAGGTCGTAGGGTGCATCTCGTTCCAAAACTACTACACTCATACCCTCACACTCAGGTACTGTAACCGGCTCTCTGAGCAGATTTCAAATTCGAAATCCGACCGCCCAACTCAAAAGGAATGGAGAACAGGAATAGAGAGGGTTCAACTGATGCCAAACTGCCACTGTGAACGAGGCAGCCAGAGCTTGGTTTTCCTAAATAAAGCCCACTTCCTAGCCTCGCTGGAGAATGTAATTAGTCTCCGTCTCATTCTGAGACAGCCGTCTCCAGAATGGAACCAGTTTGGTATCAGAGATCTCAAAATCTACTCTGTTGCTAATCCGTTCCACCGGAATGGAAATACCGGAACCAGACCTACTTTCATGTCGCCTGATGGAATGGAACAGGTACTACGGAATGGACTGCAGACCAATGGCGACATGGAATCAGGGCAAGACATAAACAGACACCCTTATGATGTAGCAACACTCTCTTACACGTGAAAAAAATATTATGAAAGTGCTTTATGACATGAGTAAAGTTGGCTCATTTGATTTTGATGCTGTGTGAGACGTTGGCTCTGATGCCAGAGGATTCACCTCCGTAGCGATGGAGCTCCTTCATTACCTCACGCACCTGCACAGCACAACAAAAACCAATATAATAGTTAGACGCTGATTCGAGGTAACTACGCGCAGTAGAAAGCCGAGAGCCCCGGCATTGTGGCGCCCCGAGGGCACTACCCCCGGCCGGGGCACGAGGCTTTCTACCGGCGCGCGGTTACCGCTCGAGTTTAGCGGTGACTAATTAACCCTCGGTGCGCATGCGCAGCGAGGGTGTCTGTGTGTGTGTCTGTTACTCTTCATCTCACTTCTCGAGTGTTTGTTCGTCTCACAAAGGATACGACCTACTTAACGGGCAATGAAGGTCAGAAATTTCGAACGGTTTTCTCTGGAAACTGCTCCGAGCTAGAGCGCGAAAAAGCCAATATGCAAATACGTTACCGCGGTCTGATCGATCCGCGTGCTCTGCGTACCTCGGAGGCACCGGAAGATGCAACGCAGGGCGTGTATCGCCTCTCGCATACTATCTAGTAGTGTAGTTAGCCCGCGTCAGACTCTGCGCCAGCTGGCAAGAGACTGCTAAAACTAAACCCAGCCCATCAATTAGTGGTACGGCGCATGCGTTTACTAACACGTGCGCGTCACAGTGCGCCGAGGGTTTGCACTTCACCGCCGCGGTAACTTCGTAGCCCCGGCAACCACGCCTTCAATCCGAAAAGCTTCTGGAGCGGTTCTTCCCACGAAGAAACCAGGAACAGGCTCTTCTAGCAGCAGCGCATGACTACTAGAGAGCTAGGAAGACGCTAGACAAAACGTGCAGGGAAAAAACGGCCGGGCGTCGCGATCCCGAAGGGCAGCAACGCCTACAACGGACACGCAGCGGGACGGACTTGCGCTGTAGTCTAAGCCGGTTAGACGCGTCGCCTTGGGAAACTACGCGATTTAGTGAGCCTCGGAGCCCTTAGTAGCGCCCTCGCTACGCTCGGGACGCCGACAGCTCAGGGCTCCTCGGCTCACTAAATCGCGTAGTTCCCGCAGCTCAGCGTCTAACCAAATACATATCGAGGCCTTTCGCAACGCGCGTTTGGTTTGCGTTACCATAGCGGTTAGACGCCTCGTCGTGGCAACCACGCCTTCAATTCGAAAGACGCCGTGCGTGCAGAGACGGAAAACGGAGCTTCTGGAGCGGTTCTTTCTCGAAAAACCTTACTCGGTCTTCTTGCAGGTAGCGACGCATGACTAAGGAGACCTAACTAGCTTGCTCTGGCTACAGCTCCAGCGCACGCGCACGCGAAAAGCGCGCAGCGACCCCGCCTACTTTTGCGTGACAGCTAGCTGGCAGAACCAACAAGCCTCTCTCTTTCACTCTGTTAGCTTGCCTGCAGTTAGGGGTGCTGCGTCTCGAGCTAGCTACACTTTATATGCAGAGCTGATTAGCGTCTTCTTGAATTTTCTTTAAACTTGGTTAGCAACGATTGTGCGTGGGCGTATGTTTCAGATATTTTTTTCAATGGCACAGCAAAAACGCTGGTGATTTATGGTGAATTTAGGTATAATTATTTCTCGGATTTTTCCTACCTTGTTTTCCAAACTCATTATAATATTCATATTCCTCCTCAATACATTCTCTATGGGAGAGAAAACCCGTGCGCGACTCACCCAGGAGCGAACGGTCCGTCTCCATTATGCGCAGTGGCTTTCTTTGCCTGCTTCGGTATGCGGGAATTCCCGGAATATGTGCATCAAGACAGAGACCGCAAGCTGGAGGTCGAGTATATAAACTTTCAATGAAAACCTTTCAGTATGCTCTAGTGCTGTGTGTGTGTGTGTGTGTGTGTGTGTGTGTGCCTGGTGTGTGTTCTAGTCATTGGAAAAGCTTCCTGCGGCATCTACGGAAGCTGCAAAACTCGCCTGCAACATCAGTCACAATAGATTCAAAAACATCTTCCCCTGTGAGTAAACCCCTGGTAGTTAGTACTCTAATGACTCACATTCCACTGCAGATGAACACAGCAGGGTCCAGTTGAAGGGAAATCCAGCAGAGAAGGGCTCTGACTACATCAATGCTTCATTCATTGATGTGAGCACAACTTCATGCCGCCTCTTACAATATAATGTATATAATTATACTATGCATGCAGAGAGTCGCTATAAAGCACTATACACTATGTGGGTATAAAAAAACTGCCTCAATGACTTTAAAAAGAAAACTGCCTGAAGTTACAGACAGCTTCATAAAAACTGTCTGTAAGAACGAACAAGAAAGCCAGAGCGCTAGCGTGAAGCGCTCACTTTATGCGCCGATTCGAGGAAACTATATAGCTACGCGATTTAGACAGCCTCGGGCCCTCTAGTAGCGTCCTCGCTGGCGCTGGGACAGCTACAGCCCGAGGGCCCGCGGCTTTCTAAATCGCGTAGTTTCCTCGAATCGGCGCATAACGTATTTAGACCGCAGTCACGCGCAATAATTGCGGGGGGTTTATTTTTCATAGACACCTCGTTGAGCGCTCTGGCTTTCCTGTTCGTTCGTATGGCGGAGCGCTTCTAACGATGACTCGATGGAGGCAGGCTCAGAGCGCCAGAAAATGCAGTGCAAGAAGAGCGAAGCGGCAGAGACACGTATATACGCGGTAGCGACTCCGCCTTCTTTTTCTGGTTGGGGTCTGCACGTGCGCGTGAGCGACGCGTCAATGTACATTCAGTTGTTCCGTCCCGCGAACGCGCTGGAGTCTCCTGAGGGCAACAAAGAAACGTCATGAACGAACCGATGAACCAGATTCGTGTTGCTTCTTCACCTAATGTCGACCCATTCACATTCAACCGGCCCGCGCCCACGTGTGTAGCTACACCTTTGACCTCACGTGCACGTGAACTGCGGAAATTTTATAGGGGCGAAAACAATTTTCTTCATTTCACAATCAAACTAGAGTAGCTAGCTACAACATACTTATGGTGGCTGTTTTTTTCTCAACGACTAAACTACAATGAAGTGATTTTTGCGGGTTATTATCTTTGCGTTAGCTACACACTTCTTTGAAGTTGGCGTAAGTCTCAAAACTGTCCATGTAGGTGGCGACCACGTCATGGCAGAAGGCGTAGTGAGCCTGTAGAACA